TAAAGCGCATCAGTATGTAACAATTGAACGTTATTTATCTAATTTCAGATCAAAACAGAGGAAAAATACCCAGCAGTTCCAGACACCCCCCTTTTTCGATTTTCTTAATGAAGTATTTGTTCCACCCTGAACCTGCACATTTGCGAGAATCAAACCTCCTCTTCCCCGAAATCCAATGGCAGAGTACGTATTAATAAATTATTTGTGCAGAGGTTATTTTGGTGAATATTTTGTGGTCAGATTCCCAAGGCTGAGGATGAATACGTATTACTAAATGTTAAAGGTTATTTTGGTGAATTTTTTGTGGTCTGATTCCCAAGGCTGATGATGAAATTCGAATGATATCCCGATCCCCCATTCCTTTACTACTGTTTATCAACGATAGTTCCTTTCGTCTACCATCCATGATTGGAATTCATTTAAAAGACTTCCCCCTCAACAAATTCTTTCAAACGCAATCTTAAAAGCCGGTTTTTTTTTCTCTATCAAATTCAGCCCCAGTTTACTTTGGTGCCGGAGATGAGAAAGAGAACATTTTATAAACTCCAATTCGTCTTAATTGCAGCGGTTTAAATGCTGATCTTTTTAAAATTAATTTAATTTCCAATCCTTTTTGCAGATGTGGCTACCATAATGAAAACTCATTTTTCAATAAAATATTTTTAAACTAAATTTGATGTTAATAATTATAATGATGAGATCTTGGACAAGTTCGAATTTGCCTATCTTTCGATGAATGTTTTTTTGAGTTATTGCCCTTGCTTTATGAAAAACGCGTCAAAATGCGTTTGTGAACACATTAGAGATTACAGTTTTCATCAGATTTAAATTAAATTTGGTATGATCATTTATAATGATGAGATCTTCGTCAAGATTGAATTTGAAAATTTTTCGATCAAAGGAAATTGATTTCGGGGAAGGGACGATATGATTCTCCCAAATGCATAGGCCTAGGGTGGAGCAGACACTTTATTTAGAAATTAGGATTAAGGGTCTTGATATTGGGTTTTCTTCTGTTCTTATTCTGATCCGAAATTAGAAAAAATAACTCGCCCGATGGGCGAGAAGTATAGTATCTGTTATGTACTGATTGTTTTTAGTTTACTATGAACAATATTATCATTTAAGTTCTTATTTTTTGAATATGCAACTATCATTTTCTGCTTATAGACATGGGGGAATTTCTCTTGAAGGCTCTTATAGTGGGCATGAACTATCTTGCTTGCTCGATTGCTGGTTGTATTAAACGGGACAACAAAGGGTGCTATGCCTACATTATGATGAATATTTAGTCCTATAGGTCTTGCTGTATTCAATGTCTCAATCCAATGGGCCTCCCTAGATTGACGGAATTTGGTAGTTTCATCTTCGGGCAAGTCAATTTCTATACGCTCAATTGGGATTAGGGTGAGATCGTCTATTGAATGGTCGTCGAGGTTGAAATGATTAGAAACAGGCTTGTCTTTCTTTAATTTGATGTCTGACCTATGAGCATTAAAGCGAGTTCGTAAATTATTCTTAGTTTCTCCTACATATTGTTTGGGGCATTTCTTGCATGAAATTAAATATATTACATTCGAATGTTCACATGTTAGATGTT